TAGAAAACCATCAGAAGGTTTGTTCATATCATTTTTTTTTTTATATGTAAGTCGTTGACTCATTTCTGGTTTTATGCCATATCTAACTTCAGTTTTTATGTGGAATGTTACAAACAGCAATTTGAGGAGTTGCAGAATAAATATAATCTCCAGGTTCGACAGTGTTATGATTTGAGTACCAAGCTTGACTCAACTGAGGTGAGTTATCTTCATATACTCATTTTTATGGTATTTCAGGTCTGGACATTTTTTGCTAAAACAAAACTCATTCTAAACCAATGTTGCAGAAAACTTTGAACCATACCACTAAGTTACTCTCTACCACTGAGGAAGAACTGATGAAATGCCGATATGCTTTGAAGGAGAGGGATTTTATCATTTCTGAGCAGAAGAAAGCTGGTCTGTCTGAATCCTTGACTTCTGGAACTTGGTTGTTTTCTGCATATGTGTTTGTTTGTTTTGATATTGTTGAACGCATGGCAGAAAATGCTCTGGCTCAGCAAGCATGCAATTTGCAATCTGACTTGGAGAAAGCACTTCATGATAATGCATCCTTGTTTCAAAAAATTGGTTTGTAGCCTTCGACAACCAATTAACTTTGACATTGTTTTAGTTGTCAAACAACTTTACTAAGTTTTTTATTCATGATGTGATACTATGCAGGTAGAGAGGACAAGCTGAGTGCTGATAATAGGTCGGTAGTGAATAATTACCAGGAAGATCTTGCCAAACAAGTTGGTTCTCTTTGCAAGATGGTGGCAACATCGATGTCTCATCAGAATGAACACCTTCAGTGTGTTGAGAACCTCTGTCATTCTTTTTTAAGTGCGCACGTTAAGGTATCATTTGAAACTTCGCTTTTCCCTTTGCTGAGGTTCATCTATGTTTGGATCCTTTTTCAATGATGTTATCCTGCTTTTTGGACTTCCTGATTTTAGGCGATTATGGACGTGAAGAATAAATTGACATCTTCAAGGGCTTTGTATCTTTCTCATATTGAGGCAGTGCAAAATGTTGTGCGTTTGCACAAGGCGAGCTCTAATGCTGGTCTAGAGGAAATTTCATCTTTGGCTTCTTCTAATGTGCAGTCTGTTGAAGAAGTAGGTAGCAATAATGGAGTTTCCCTGTTGCACTTATCAGTTTTGTACCATGAAGATTTTTGTTGTTGCTAACTGTTTATACCAACTTTATATATTTATTTCTTGGATTCAGTTTCTAGCTTCAGAGGCTGGTGCAGCAGCTACAATATTTGAGGATCTTCAGAGCAGTCTCTCAACACAGCAGGGTGAAATGACAGCTTTTGCTAAGGAATTGAAACAGGTCTGACATCTACCTTACTGCATTCAAATTTTGGTGGCTTTGAAAGTTCTATAATTTAATCTATGAAAATTAAGTTTGTAGAGCATTAATTATTTTGCATAGCATAGAGAAAAGGTAACTTTGCTTTTCAACACCTTATTTGGTTTCTTGCCAACTTTTTTTTTTCTGTATAACAGAGATTCAATTCAACTATTAAGCAAACACAAGACATTTCTGAGTACTCTCAAGGATTCCTCCACAAGCTTTTGGAAGAATCAAAGAGGCTTGAAGATCATGTGGGACAGACCAATGATATTACACTAAATAACATTGCTGAATTTCAGAAGGCTTATGAGGTATACACAATTCCTGCACAGATAAATCTGCATTGATATATTTCTTCTACTAAATTTCTGAGATCCCAAGTGGACGTGTGACACAGGAGCAATCAAAATCTGAGGCAGAGAAGCTTATTGCTGATATCTCTAGTTTAGTCTCCACTCACATGTGCCGTCAGAAAGAGATGGTTTGTTTCTGTTATTGATTTATTATAATTTTCTCTAAATTGAGATTTTTGTTCAATCTAATTCTGAACAAATGACTGTTGAACTGACAGGTGGATGCCAAGCTTGTTGGTTTCAAAGAAAGTGCTATTGCAGACAAGTCTTTCATGGACGGTCATGTTTCCTCCATGGAGGGTATTACCACAGAAGCGAAAAGAAAATGGCTGGAATTTTCAATGCAAGCAGAAAATGATGCTAAGGATGGTGCTGACTATTCTGCTGCTAAGCATTGTCGCATGGAGGTTCTTCTACAAAAAAGGTAAGTTGGTCTATCATGTTTCATGCTGAGGCTTGATCCATATTGTTTTTCGCTTGAATGCTGATGTTTGTTGTGTTATTTTATTTTCTAGTGCAAGTACTGCTGATTCAGCATTGGATCACTGGAAAAAGACACAGGAGTCTGTGAATGATATGGGAAATAAACATGTTTCGGCTATGGCGTCACTTATCAGGTTCATTAGGAATTTTGTTTCTTTTGCCTAAGTTTTGTGTGGGCAACCACTTTAGTGTTCTTTACAAAAATATGTGCTGGGGAGATGTTTATAGTTCTTTTAAAACCGTAGATTAATCCTTTAGAATTATCTTGATGCAGGATTGCTTCTGATAGTGACGAGCAGCATGATGTTGAGATCAATTCAGTGAGGGCTGCAGTTGAGCAAGATGTGGCAAAGAATAGTGAGGATGCCCTTCAGCATGTTGATTGTAAGTTTTTTGTTGTCTTATTCTAATATATCTCTACCGGTGATTGTACATATATTCTGAATCTCACTCTAGCAGTGATGAGCGAAAGCAATAAATATTTTATTGTGCATATGAAATGTGAGCATGATTTAATTGGTAAGCAAGTACGTGCAGTTGTACACACATCAAAACCTTTTCATTTCGAAACTGGTTGTTAGACGGATAACATCCAACTGAATCATTGTTTCAAGCATTTGAATTTGAAAAATGAAATTGGAGTGCTATGATGAAATGTAGGCAAAGGTTAAACATTAGAGATCTGAATATGTGCTGTATAGTGGTTTTGTATCTGTGTTTCTGCTGGTTTTGGTTGTTTAAGATCCATGCGGATTCCCTAAGTATAAGATTTTATCAAAATTGCCTATAGGTATGCATGAGCAGGAGCAGGAAACTATATCCAAAATCTTGGAGACTATCAAGGCTCATTCAAATACCCTGGAGACTTTGCGGGAGGACCACTCTGGGAAAGCTGTATCTATTGAGGAGACAGCACGGGATACCTTCCAGAACCATTATTTGGTGAGCTTTTTTGCACACATTATGGTGCACTCATCAGCCATGACTATCTTCAGTAGCGGTCATACTTTGCGGTTGAACACATTCTCCTACTTTTGTACCGATATCAGTTCACGAATCATGATTTCTGTTTTGATTTGTGTAGGACTATGAACCTAGTGGATCTACACCGGAAAAGTCTGAGCCGGAAGTTCCAAGCAAGGGCACCATTGAGTCACTTCGAGCCATGGCTATGGAAGCTCTTGTTGAGGAGTTTCGGGAGAACCATTCCTACGAGTCATTGAATGTGAAGGAGTTGAAACCATCGCTTATACCTCGCTCTCCGCTTACACAACTGAACTAAATGTGGCGCGATCATCATTGCTCGATTACCTGCATGAAATGAAGTTTGTATTTGTATCATTATTGTACACTTTTTCTTGCTTTTGAGGAATATATGTAGCAGAATGTAGTGGAAGTTGGGGTGTATTGTTTGTTCCTGGTGCAGTCAGTGTACCAATAAATCCAGTCTTTGGATTTAGCAGTGTAGCTCGATATATATAGGGATGTATATTAGAGGCAGAAAAAACCTACATCTGTTTAATTTTTATTCCATCAATGCTGTTTTGTTCAACCACATTTGCCTTTCTTTGCAAGTTTTTTTTTTCTTTTCGCTTTTACGTTGATTTCGTTATCTCCTTCCACGCCGGCCAGAATTTCACGATCACCGCCAGTGCCACCAATCTCTTCCTCTTCCTCTCTTCTCGAATTCTCTCATTACCAGTGAATGCAAACTATAGAAATAAATTTACAGGATTGTATTTTGCTCCCTAAACCATGGACGGTTAAGAACTCATGAGTAGAAAAGGAATGGTGTTCCAGATGGTAAAATTTTTGAATCTGAATATTTTTCGAAAAATTGGAATGCATTGAAAGGTTCCTAATTTCATATTCAAAATTTTGCACTTTCTCCCGGGTCACAAGCATATTATCCTGCTAAAGGAATACCTACCGGTACTTGTACGTTTAAGGATATAGAGAAGAGATTTAGCCTAATGTCAGAGTGCCTAAGGTGATAGCTTGGATTCGAAGTTAGTGTAGACATCGAAATTTTGGTAGACACATGATATATGCCACGTATGCCCTGACATGTCGAAACTTTAATTTTGTTGGTGAACATTTATTTAACTGAAATTTCGATGTCTACAGTCAAATATATTGAATCATTTTTAAGACAATTTAGGTTTCCATTACTTCATCAATGTCAAAAGAGGACAGGCATCTGAAGAGGGAATAAATCTTAGCTGGGCAAACCACTTGAAAGAAATGCCGGATGAGGAAAAATAGACGATGGCCTCGAAGCTTTTCAGTACGATAGACCAGGAACCTGCAATTTTGTTTTTTGTTTTTGTTTTGACGAACTACTCTTCAACACTTTTGAGTCCGATCCACATCGATAACCCTGTTAATTTTCAAGACAGAAATCTGACATAGCGCTACCGGATGTGTTGCACTAGAAGTTGAAAATTGTCAAAACCGAAACTGCACGAAAATGACTGAAATCAAAAGTATAATTTTAGATACCCTTTGCATTGTTTTTCTTAAAAAAGTTGTTACTATGTCTATTAATGCAGTTAGAAGTGTCTCACATTTTTATGCTCGACATCAACCATCTTTGCGTGAAACAAGTGTCTCACATTTACTATATTAATAGGAGTAAGGCGTGATCATGAATGTGCATGAAAGACGGCCTCATACAAGTGCAAGAAAAATTCTTCTCCGTATTGACCGCCGTGACGAATACCACCTTGTGTCTCGCTGAGCCTAGATCTATATATAGATAACTCAATCCCTATTTATCCAATAGCTCTTCTCCTATCTTTCTCATTGCACGTTCTAAATATGGATATCTTAAGAAAGTTAGCTCCAGTTTTTTTATTCGCTTCATGTGTTTTTCTGATCACAAACAACAATGGAGTAGAAGGGTCGCATAGGATTTACTCTAGGCTTCAGAATGTTCCTGCCGGCGAGGTGAACCAAGTCCACAGAACCGCCTACCACTTCCAACCTCCGAAGCACTGGATTAACGGTATTTTTCCAAATCATCATGCTTGGTTTTCTGATCCAGGGTTCATAAATTGTAAATAGAAGTTTATGGATAGGAATTGTTCATAAGTTTTGTATCAGCTGACAGTTTAATCCCGATCTGCATGAAGGAAGAAGCCATCATTGCCCTAACAGATAATTCATGAATAAATGGCAAGCATGCACGTAATTTGTGCCCTCGATATAATTGTATATGTTGGCAACATTCTTAATGAACCTGGAGGTTTCTTCTACTTTTTCTTAATGCTATACGAAAATTAGTGAAAAATAATTGAAAAGTAACTGGTTATTTTTTGGTTTGATATTTACATAGGCACTATTGTGCATGTGAGATTTCTTAATTGCTTGTTACTTCCCCTAATACATCATCATAGTCACCATAGCAGTACTAATAATTATTCTACGTTCATTCCTAAATCTTTTAAAGATCACATTATTTCACTGACTCTTTTGTTTTGCTTCCAATTTCCATGGTGGCCAATAATCGAACAATTCTCTATCGGCAGACCCAAATGGTGAGTACCTTAGGAATAATGTTATTTGTATTACATTTTGACGACATTGCTGACTGCCTCTTTAATAGAGGTGGACTCCACTTGTGTGTATGAAACTCACGTATAAATATTAGAGAGTTGGTAAGCAATGTGGTAAATGGGGTCCAAATAGAAGCGCTTTTTAATTAATCCCTTAATTACCTGTTAATTTTAATCTTACCCGCTTTGACATACAAATTGAACAGGACCCATGTTCTTCAATGGTTTCTACCACTTATTCTACCAATACAATCCCAAGGGTTCAGTGTGGGGAAACATAGTGTGGGCACACTCAGTCTCTAAAGACCTCATCAACTGGGAAGCCCTACCAAACGCCATATTCCCCTCAAAATCCTTTGACATAAACGGCACGTGGTCTGGCTCCGCCACCATTCTTCCCGGCAACAGGCCGATCATCCTCTACACTGGCCTCGACAATGACAAGCGTCAGATCCAGAGCTACGCAGTTCCAGTAAACATTTCCGACCCCTACCTTCGCGAATGGGACAAACCCGATGACAACCCCTTAGTCCTCCCTAGCTCGGACATGAATGCGAGCCAATTTCGTGATCCCACGACTGCATGGTGGCATAACGGTCACTGGAGGATGTTGGTGGGTGGCAAAAGAAAGAAATCAGGGATGGCCTGGTTGTATAGAAGCATTGACTTTAAGCATTGGATCAAGGCCAAGCATCCTCTTCACTCTGCTCCCCTAACCGGTATGTGGGAGTGCCCCGATTTTTTTCCCGTTGCCTTGCACGGCAAGAATGGATTGGACACGTCGAGAGTTGGCAACGATGTGAAGCATGTGTTTAAAGTGAGTCTTGATGAAACTAGGTATGAGTACTACACTGTTGGGCAATATGAACCTGAGACTGAAATCTATGAGCCGGATAAAACTTCGGTCGACGGCAGGGAGGGATTGAGATTCGATTACGGGAATTTTTATGCTTCAAAGACTTTTTTTGACTCTTCAAAGAACAGGAGGATCTTGTGGGGTTGGGCTAATGAGTCTGATTCAGCTGATGATGACACGGCGAAGGGATGGGCTGGAATTCAGGTATATCATAATTGCTTATTTGTTCTAGGCCTAATATTTCTTTTCCCTCTCACTAGTTTTAGAAGGGTCACAATGTTAGGCCACATTACTTACATAATGTTATTGAGATACACAAAACTGACGCATTTATTTATGTACTGTTAAATAAAGATAGCTGACATGCTGACACGCTCATTTTCTAATAAAGTTTTGGAAGAATCACAATGATCACAATATTGGTGACAATAATGTTATTTTAGACACATTTGCCGACATTCTCTAATAAAAATGAGAATTTTATTGTATACAGGGGTCAACATGTATAAAAAAGAGCGCCAACAAATATGTCCGTTATCTATAAACCAATGGATCCTACATACCTCTATCAATATAATCTACAATGTAGTCGAAACAAGTTATTGTTTTCTATAATTAACTAGCAACATAATTCTATGTAGAACTACATGGAGATCCCTTAATGTTTTTTTTTTTCATGGGTGGTATAATTTCGTAGGCAATTCCAAGGACTTTGTGGCTGGACCCGAGTGGGAAACAAGTGCTGCAATGGCCAGTTGAAGAATTAGAAACTCTGAGGGGACAAAAGGTCGACTTGAACGACATAAAAAATATGAAGCAGGGAAAACTTATTCAAGTTAAAGGAATAACTGCTGCTCAGGCCGATGTTGATGTTACATTCACATTAGGGAGCTTGGACAAAGCCGAGGAGTTTGATCCTAATTGGGAGAAGCTAGATGCAGAATCAGTCTGCGCCCTAAAACGTTCGAACGTTCCAGGTGGGGTTGGTCCGTTTGGGCTTGCGACGTTGGCGTCACAAAACCTAGAGGAGTTTACTCCGGTGTTCTTTAGGGTTTTCAAAACTAAAGAGAACAAGCATAAGGTTCTCATGTGCTCTGATGCAAAAAGGTTTGTCTTTTGTCCTAGTCTTATCTACCTTTCTTATTAATTCTAACTTTGATCTAGGATTATGTTTAGTAAATATATTTAACCCTTAAAATATTTGGATGGGGCAGTTCTACTTTGAGGCCGTTTGACATCAAACAGTATAGACCATCATTTGCTGGCTATGTAGATGTCGATTTAGCTGCTGAGAAGAAGATTTCTCTAAGAAGTTTGGTACGCATAACTTGAACTCTTCCTTTGTCAGTTTAAATACTGATCATTTTATATAAGTCATTAATTAATTAAGAACCCAAAACTAATATCATTTTCTCGCGATTTCTAATTGCAGATTGATCATTCAGTTGTTGAAAGTTTTGCAGCTGGTGGAAAAACATGCATCTTATCCAGGGTTTATCCCACCTTAGCTATTAAGGATGATGCTCAATTGTTTGTGTTCAACAATGGGACTGAGCCTGTTACTGTACAAACCCTCGCCGCATGGAGTATGAATGCTCCTAAGCAAATGAACCAAAACTTGGAGTTCTGATCTAAATATTAAGGGAAATGTATGCTTGGTTAAGCTGTCAGGCTCTTATAGTAATCTAGGGAGAAAAACGGGGTATCACACACTCATTAGCCAAATATAGGCTTTAGCCAAGCTTGGCTTTCCTCACCATACATTGTGATATTTGAATCCCAATTTTGATTGAATAATTACAGTTTAAATATGGAGTCAATGAATAAATATGTTTTAAATTAGATGCATTAAGTCTTTGAGTTGATGTAAGGGATAAGTAAGTTTTCATGCCTCTGCCCTCTCTAAGAGTAGTTCCAGCGTGGGAAACCTCCCCCTAGGCAATACACTATGCTATCCATCCTGTGAACAGTAACTGCCCTTAATGAACAGTAATCACATTTTGCATCTCCACCGTTGCACTTTAATAGCCCTAGCAATAGGTAATAAAAATATTAATATTTTTCAATAAGATTTTTAATCGTACTCGTTGCGTCACATGTCATTATCCGAAAATACAATTATTGGTGATGCATTTCCAATAAGATTATTAACCAATCACGTCGCACCACGTGTCATAATCTGTTTACAATCTCTGAGGATAGATTTCTATCAGATTTTTAACGAATGACGGCATGCCACGTGACATTATCTACAACCTAATCCTTTATGAATCCTCCATATAATCAACCATCCATCCTCACAAATCTCACACCAATTTTCTCAAGATCTCTATCATTATTCATAGTTTCTGCTTCCTTTTTCACCAAAATCTCTATCATTATTCATAGTTTCTACTTCTTTCTTACAATGTCTTCTTCTTCCTCAAGGATGATGTGGGAAATCGATCAGCAAGAGGAAGAATTGTTTAACGAATCAGAAGGAATGTTCAATCTCCAGGTGACCCAAAATGAGAGGGAAGAGGATGAGGAGCGTAGAAGGAGAGATGACAAAGCAAGAATGGCAAGAGCCTCACATTCCTGTCGAGTCATCCAAGCTATGAGTTAGATCTGCAGCCCAGCCATTTTGGAAACCTTGATAGAAGCAGGCAACGACGAGGTACTTTCCTTCTAAAGGCGTGTTCATAATGTCACGATCTCGTTGAGCCATTCTTTGTTATCTAACTTGTTCATTTTCTTGCCTAAATAGCTCTCTTTGTCTCTCATTAGCTTGAAATGCTGTCTCAACAACTGCAGCATTTGCCTCATCTTTAGCTTTATCAGCCTCAAATTTCACCATTTTCCGCGCCAAAGTCAATTCACTTTGGCGAGCAAGTTGTTCCATATACTTTGCATAATCATTCTTCGAAGCACTCCCTTTTCTCTTTGAAGCCTTCTTACTTTTAGGCCTAATTGGATAACGGGTCGATCTTGACGCTTATTCAGGGGGGGCGTTTCGTGCACTTCTTTTGCTTCATCTTCATGAACATGCGAGCCATGATCAGGTGTAGAGTGTAGATGGGTGATGTTCATGAAAACTTCTGGACCGACATGCACAACTTTGAATTTAGGACAATCTTTGACAATATTCCAACATTCCCACCAGTTGAATGATTTATTTTTGGTTTTGGCACCATACCAAGCTTGTGCTTGAAGTTGCTACACAATGCGGGATAAGAAATAATTATAATGAAAGTAGGTAACAAATAAATAATTATAATGAAGGTAGTTAACAACTAAATAATACAAACAAATAATTATAATGAAAGTAGGTAACAAATAAATAATACACACACATAAATAATATATTGTTACCTGATTTGCGTAATTTTCCCCACTTTGAATATTATTACTGGCTTGTGACAAGGTGTCTCTCCATGTACTAAACGATTGGCTAAGTAATTTCCATCGACTAGACATCGATTCTTTGGTTATTTTCCCACCCATTTTCTCAAGATAATTGATATGAATAAGATTCCATATTTCTCACAACTGCATCTCATTATCCGTAAGCGAACTATGAGTAACTTCAACCTAGCTAGTACACAACGCAATATCTTCGTACATGCATCAGTAGTCATTTTGTTGAAAAAAAATTGGATTGAAACTTTGAGAGAAAGATAGGAATTTGATTGAAAGTAGTTGAGAAAATATGAAATTGTGGTGTAAGGTAGATGATAATGAGAAGGTATTTATAGAAAAGTAAAAACAATTTTTTTAAAAATTTTTTTCAGCTTCTTTTTCAGATTTTTTACAATTTTTAAAATTTTTTTTATTGAACTAATTAATCTCTACCGTTGGATTTAAAAAAAAAAATTGAATTCCAACACTCACGTGTCACAACGGTAACTTTTCTTAATTTTAAAACTATTTTTTCTTTTATTTATTTATTTATAAAGCAGAATAATATCAACCGTTCATCTCAGATCCAACGGTTGATATTAAATAAGTTTATTTTTATTTTTATTACCATTACGAATCAGACGGTCCAATTTAAAGAGCCATTGAGATTGAACGGATCGTGGGAAGCCACGTGGCTTCCAACGGTAACCTCGGTAGATTGTTACGCAGGCCCATACTTTGATCGGTTGACGTGCTCCCAAGTGCGGATGAGGCGTACGCGCCTAACAGAAAAAAATATAAAATAGGGTTGATGCCAGGATGACATCAGCCCTGACGTCACATCCACTTGGGATGGCAATTCCTCACAGGTTTGGAGCTCGGGCCTCCACTCTCCCTCGGGCTATCTGGCCTTATTTCGTCCCCCTTCCCCCGAGCACCAGCCTATGCTGGAGTTGCTTTAAAGTTATATCAATTTGGGAAGTGAGGGGCGGGTGGTTGTGTCAGTGTGTGTGGGGAAGGGATAATTTCAGTGGAGAGAGAGTATATCAATTTGATGTCGAGAGGTTGTCACATCATGTCAGTGCCTTTTTTAGGATAATGCTAGAGATACCAAATTTTTAAGTCAAATATTGTAATCAAATCATGTTGTTGTTGATGATTGAATTATCATTTAATTGTTGATTAATGTGCTTATTTTCTATTAATAACACATAATTTGATTTGCAAATTTTGTTTAAAACCTTGGTTTGCTAGCATTAACCCCTCTCTAAAGTTAGAGGAATAATCGTGAGATGGGCTGGCATATCAAGGGGTGGGGTCTGGGAGCATGATCAGGGAACAAGAACCGTTGAGAGCAGGTTGGTGATGATGGATGCCATGGGTGCTTATCGAGCTGGTGGAAAGAGGGCTGGTGAGGGAAGATGGAGTTGGTGAGTCGAGGGTTTTTGAACAAAACAAAATTATTAATAAAAGAAAAGAAGAAACGGTTGATAACTAATGAGAGATAAATTTTTAGTTGTGACGGGAACAGGGATGATATACCATTTATTTTTATGTAAGTGGTGGACAATTTAAAATTTTAAGTTATTAACCATATATGCACATCCACCATAAAAAAATAAGAAGAATATTTTTGACATTGCTCACCATCACAACTCCCCCTTCCCTTGCCCATGCAAAGCCCAAAATCCGATCACATCCATGACTTCATGTTGCTTGATTTCTTCTTCTATATCATGTTCTTCCATTCTATTTTTTCAATTATTTAAATAATATTTTGATTATTAAAAACTTTTTTTTTTTCTTTCAAAAATGATTATATCCATATGAGTGAAATGGAAGCAAGACCGCGACCATCCTTCTGCACTTGTACCACCATCCCGAGTATCCCACGTCCAACAACAGAGGTGATGCAACGACAACAACGAAGAGTTTGAGTTTCTCAACAATCAAAGAATCCAAGCCGAAAGAATAAGAAGCGAAATCGGTAGAGAAAGCGACTCCATCTCTGTTGCCACCGGAGAAGCCGGAGGCCAATGATTGATACGGCAACTGATGCATTTAGCGCGTTTTGGGATGTGGATTATGACGAGCTCGACGAATTCCACAAGATCAACTCATGTTATTCAATCATAGATTCTCTTACGATCTTACTCGACGTCTTCTTCTTGCACAGAGAGAAGTAACAGGAAGGGGTAACAAACAATATTCCATTTACTGCTTCTTTCGTTTACATTCTCACTATTTATAGAAGTTGTACTAATTTCTAACTAACCAACCCTCCTTTCACCCAATTCCCAACTAATTCCCACTAATTCTCAACTAATCTTGCCACCTGTAAGAGATTCCTAGCAATACCCCCCCCCTCCTTTGAAACCAAGCTTACATTCACAACTTCCAAAAGAAAAAATTTCATCAAGGAATTCAAAGATGAACTATTTCTGGAAACTTCAATTTCAACTCATGATAATTCTCCCAAGTTGCATTATCCCTTGAGTGGTTCTGCCATTGGACCAATGCTTCCGTCATTGTAGTATTGCCCTTCTTCACCATTAGCTTAGTTAGGATTGCAACAGGTGCATCTTGTAATATTCCAGTGTCTGTGAGAACAGGTAAAGCAACTGTGGCTTGCACATTTTCTCCCAAATACTTCTTCAAGCATGATACATGGAATACAGGGTGTAACTTAGAATGATCTGGGAGTTCGATCTTGTAGGCCACATTGCCCACCTTGGCTAGTACCTGAAATGGCCCATAAAAACGAGGCTGCAGCTTGTGGAAATGGTGGGCAGCCAGCGACTTATGTTGGTAAGGCACTAATCTGAGATAAACCCAATCTCCAACCTCGAAGACCTTTTCAGTTCTCTTCTTATCCGCCTGCACTTTCATCATCTCCTGAGCTGCTGCCAAGTTATCCTTAAGTAAAGATAGGATGTTGTCCCTCTCCTTCAATGGTTGTTCGACTGAGTCCACTTTGGTTGTGCCTGACTCATAAGCAAGTACAAGAGGAGGAACATACCCATACATTGCCTCAAATGGCGTCATTTTAATGGCCGAATGGAAGCTGGTGTTATAACTCCACTCAGCCCAAGACAGCCATAACACCCATTTTTTTGGTTGCAATGTCCAGAAACATCGTAAGTAGGTTTCCAGGCACCTATTAAGAACCTCAGTTTGCCCATCCGTTTGTGGGTGATACCTCGAACTGAAACAAAGCTCAGAACCTTGCAACTTGAAAAATTCTTTCCAAAACTTGCTCATGAACACCGGGTCTCGATCACTCACTATAGACTGTGGCATCCCATGCAACTTGAATATGTTGTCAACAAAGTGTTGAGCCACTGAGGAAGCTGTGTAAGGATGACTCAATGCAGTAAAATGGACATATTTCGATAGTCTGTCCATCACCACCCAAATCATCGTTTTACCCTTGCAAGGGGGAAGATTTGTGATGAAATCCATCG